AACGGGAATGAGGGGGTAGTAAAGATGCTTTTGGGACGCAAGGATGTCAATCCGGACCAGGCAGACACCAAATATGGCCGGACGCCACTCTGGTGCGCGGCTAAGAACGGGCATGAGGGGGTAGTAAAGATGCTTTTGGGACGCAAGGATGTCAATCCGGACCAGGCAGACACCAAATATGGCCGGACGCCACTCTCGTGGGCGGCTTCGAACGGTCATGAGGGGGTAGTAAAGATGCTTTTGGAACGAAAGGATGTCAATCCCAATACGATGGACACGGAATATGGCTCAACGCCACTCTCATGGGCCGCTTTCCACGGGAAAGACGGTGTAGTAAAGATGCTTTTGGAACGAAATGATGTCAATCCCGACCAGGCAGACACTCATGATGGCCGGACACCACTTTCGTGTGCCGCCCAATGTGGACACGAGGGGGTTGTAAGGATGCTTTTACAGAGACTGGATGTTAATCCCAATACCGTGGAGACCGAATACGGCCGGACAGCACTTTCTCGGGCGGCTAAAGGAGGGTATGAGGGGGTAGTAAAAATTCTTTTAGAACGGGAAGATGTCCTCACCACCATGACAGATAACGAAGGCCAAACACCATTGTCATTGGCCGTTTCTGGGGGACATCATAGAATTGCAAAAATCCTACAGGAGTGGGACAATTCCGACACCGTAGAACCCGCCGGCCAGGCATCGGCCCCACCGTTCACTGAGCATGTGGATCAGGATGTGGTGGAGATGCAATCTGCAGCTGCAGTTCCTAATCCCAACATCGTAGACCTTGATTCCCAACCTGCAACCCCACCCGCCGACCCAGATGAGCCCGAAGCCTTACCTGACCTCAATAACTCCGTTTCTGAATCTACACCTAGCTTTCTCTCCTCAGCTGAATCGTCTACATCACCACACCCCCTTTCCATATCTCACCTAAACCCCCCGCATTCTCCAATTGGAGCAGACACTCATCTCAACCGCACTCGATCAATCCTCTCAATTTTTTTCAGCCAGTATTTTCTTATTGCCTTTCTCATTTGTGTCTTGGCTCTTCTCGTCTGCCTACTTCCATTCTCGCTTGCGGACAAGTTCTCATTCCATAAATAATCATAGAGTGCGGGATTGGTGTTGGCAAATTTCCGTCTATTTAGCTGTAAATAGGTTTCATAAACGGCGTGTTTCCGATCTCAGGTAGTTCTCAGCTCTTCATCCGCTTTCCCCTACTTCTTCCTTTCCTTCCTTGTGGTTCTACTGTACTTAGACCTAGTCCATCATTCTTTCGTGCTCGCCATTGCTTTTGTTCGTTTATACGTTTGTATCCGGCCTATGTTTTCTAAACAGCGCCATACAACCCGGCACATCACGCCCAAAAGTGGGTAGATAGACAACTACCTTAATCACCCCCGCCCTACCCCTATTAGACCCCAGCACAGACCATCGATCGTACAATTCTCCAATTCCACCATTCCCTCCGGTGCCATCGGGATAGGTAGAAGCATTTGAATATAACCCTAACCCTATATTAAGGAATATTTGTTGTAAACCGCCCCACAATACATCCGTGCTACTCCAACCACAGCCCGGTCCTCCCCGCTCTACCCCACAATGCTTCCGGCGACACCCCGGGCCAGCATTATATGTCGATGCCTTGGGCGGGTGCTTCCCGCGGCATCTGCCGCAACTCCTAGAATGGTTTAGTGATATTATTCGGGAGGCAACTGGGGTGCGGGTATCCCTCACCGGAAGGCCCCACATGAAATAAGAGATTCAAAGATATTTCGTTCAAGCGGTTGTGGTACCTGTCAGTCCCAACGCAGATGATTAGGAGCTATGTCGAGCGGAGGCTAGAGAGGGGTGCTGAGCGCGAGGCATTGAACGATGAATTGAGGGTGGATATTGTTAGAACTATTGTCGAAAAGATATCGGATATGTGGGTAGCAGCGTTTAAAATTTCCCCCCATCAATGGCGCGTACTTTGTAGCGACTAGGTGCAGATTTTCACATATTTCTCTAAATATGGATCCTATTCTGGGAGAGGTGGCTATTCGTCCGAGAAGAAAGAAGCGGGAGGAGATGGTAAGAGGCAATGGAGTAAGCAATGTCTACGCGGCAACACTAGTCCGACTGAAGGCGCAGAAGGGAATCAATTCAGTGCCGGGATTAAGGGTCCTGATGTGGGTGCTATATTCACAACGGCAATTATAGGCGGAGGAGCTCATTCACCCATTGGCAGTGGAGGCAGGAGCTCATTCACTCATTGGCAGTGGAGGCAGGAGCTAGTGATCTTGATGCGGAAAACACTCCTCCCCTACGGACACTCGTCACCGCTTCCCTAGGCCTAGTTACGATCGAGACGTCTTCGTCCAAGGTCCGGCTTGTGCACTATACCGTGCCAGAACATCTCGTGAGTGATCCTACCCTAGTCGGAAATTTCAGAGGTTTGCTGACATACCTCAGTTTTCGAAATTTGTGCGATCTTTCGCCGATGCTTGACTGGGCCTCGTCAACGATGCCCCTTTTGGAATAAGCCGCTTGTGCTAAGGCTTCTTGAACGATTTGATAAGCATATAGCCGCTCAACTAATGATGTCATTGCGCTATAATCACGATGGACACCAAGTCAGCGCCCCCATTTTAGCCCCTTGTGAGCCGAAGGGATTTACCGGACTCCACGGAGCAGCATTTCTCGAGTTTGTGGAGATCCTTGCCGCTGTATTGGCGGTAAGAGAATGGAATGTTAACGCAACCGACGGCATGGGTCTCACAGCTCTCATCTGGGCAGCAGTCAGAGGACATGAGTTCATAAAACTGCTGTTGGGACGGGCCGCTGTCAATCCAGACAAGGCAGACATTGTAGATGGCCGAACGCCACTTTTGTGGGCAGCTGAGTACGGGTGTGAGGGGGTAGTAAGGATGCTGTTGCAACGAGAGCATGTTAATCCCAATATGGTAGAGAGTTGAGGAAGTGCCCCGCTCTCATTCGCAGCCGTGTACGGGCATGAGTGTGTAGTAAAGATACTTTTTCAGTGAGCAGATGCTAATCCT